GGAGGACGAGGAGGAAGAGCTACGCGAACGCCGCGAGCTTGGGGGCCCGCGCCGCGCCCGGGGCCGTGCGCTCTCGGGCCACTCGGCCGCAGGTGAGAGGCGCGGGGCGCGGTGCGAGCGAGCGAGCGAGCGAGCGAGCGGGACCGGGGACGGAGGGACCGAGGGCTGGGGGCTCTGGGGCGGCGCGGGTCCGGGACGGCGGCAGCTCCCGCACCCGCCCGGGTGGAACCTGCACCTTTACTCTCGGAGGCCAGAGGGAGGAAGAATGGCCTTTCCCTCGTCATCCTCACTTTCTGGCCGCTCCCGAGGAAATTCAAACCGGTCTTTACCTACTAGGGGCCCTGGAGCCGAAACTCCAAAATTTCCGTACGAAGTAAATCCAGGAGCTGCTGGCTTGGAACTTGTGGCCCGGGTGATTACTTATCTCTGGGTGAGTCAGAGGCCAGTGGAACACTCAGCGGCTAGAGGCCGTCTCGGTCGACAATGACCCCTCCGCCGCAACCTGGTCAAAGCGCTCCCTGACTGAGTCAAGTCTGGTATCCGTGTCCTATGAACTTTGGACCCGTTACTCTCCTTCCCCCACCGAAAGAGCTCATTAGTTTGCTATACGTCTTGCTTTAGAAATATTTTGTGAGACGTGCCCCCCCCGCTCCACCCAGGAAAAGTCTAGAATATAGCATTGCAAAAAGCAATTCGTTTGGACTGAGAATCATTTCAGGGCTTATAATTACTTTTATGATACTGTGTTTTTGGGTACACAAAAGCGGTATGGATCAAATAGTTTGGCGCATAAGTGGAGGAGTTAAGTGTAGATCCACACCCCTTCCCTCTTCCCAGGGCAGCTTTTCAGCGTAACATAATGGAGAGGAAATTCTCTGGCCTTTGGTTCCAACTGGGTAATCTGAGTTATCTGAAAACTAACAGCGAAGAACACACCTTAGCGGGGTGACAGCAAAAGGGAGAAAGGGAACAGGGAAAGATTCAGATGATTCATGGACAGCCTTTGTAGAAAGTGGAATATAGTGAATGTTTTATGGAACCATAGAGAAGTTTTTCTGTGTGACTCCCTTAACCACTAAGAGAACGTTGGAAAATTAAAGAAGACGGTCTGTAGGGAACAAAGAAGGGTAGAAAGGTAGATGAAAGGAAAGAACTTAAACATATCATGAAGAAATAGTTGGATACACTTAGTGGGACCTTGGAACCATAAGAATAATTCCCTATGCAAATTATAAGGCATTCGACTGTCTACATTAACGATAGTTGTTTCGAAAGTCGTTAATAGTTTTATTCATAGTAAACCCAGACCTAGTGAAATAATGAATAATTGCTGGGTATAAATATTTCTTGGAGGAGGTCAGTGAAAAAGCTACAAAGATGTACCGCCATTGACTTACTGATTCAAACCGTGGACTACCTTGGGTTCCTGTTAACCTTTAGCAAAAGCTTCACTCTTTCTTACAAGAGACTGTACAGTGAAGAGGTGTAATTGGAGTTTAGACTAGATAAGATCCAGATGTATGTTTATCCTTTAGTTGCAATACGTGTATTTATTCTAAGGTGGTATTTTGTAACTTGTTTTTACTAGTTCCATGATTTCCCTGAGGCTGGCAAAGGCTCTTCTATGTTCTGTGATAATTATTTTGCTGAGATGTAGCATGGTGTACTTTTTGCACTCCACAATTGGTGTTTGCAGTCTTCTAACCGTTTAAATGCCCTTCCTTTTTATAGGTGACTTTTGGGATACCTTAGATATGCCTTTTCTTTATTAAGGTGTTGTGGCGACAGCAATGTTATAGAGTGGAGAGAGGGTCTAAAAGTGTAATTTTTGGTTTTATTTCTTTTGGGGTAAATGATTTGATAGTTTACATTTCTTTATAAACCCTGTTCCTCTTTTCTCTCATTGGTTAACATGTTTTTCAGACACCATCACATTCCTTACCAAGCTTGGGCATTTGTTCGGCGATGCTGAATATTGCTGTCTTCCAAGTGAGAGAGTGTGAACTGACCCAGAGGCTTAATGTTTCTTCTGCATCTTTTTCATCTTTCATTTTTCTTGTTCTCAACACTTCCTCCTTCCTTGACCACTAAGATTTTCCTTTTCTTTGACCTCGTAACTTGATACCCATAACCTGGGGTTTATGGATGTGAAGGAGTCTGTGAATTCTTCCTTCTCTTTCTGCTAAATTTAGGTGTGGTGTGTAAGTGCATCTATTTAATTTTGCAACATATGCAAGAACATATAAAATTTGTAGATTTTAAATGGAAATTCTTATAATTCGTGCCACAATCAGAAGTAGACTATTAGTTCCTTAGAAGCAGACTCTCATCCCTCCCTTCCCTAGAGGTAACCAGCTTTTTGACTTTTGGGATTATTTTCTTTCTTTTCTCTGCAGTTTTACCATATATATATATATATATATATATGCTCCTCTATACAATATTGTTAAGTTTTATCTGTATTTGTGGAAACATCCTGTATTTTAATAACCCAGCAGAAAGCAAGTTATGACTTGAGATTCTGAAATGTCTGGAATGAGTGCTTTTCATTCAAAGGCCAAGAGCCCCAGGCGGGATGTGATCACAGAAAGACAGTCCTTGTAGGACGTCCTTAGGAAGTAAATGTGTGTGTGTGTTTTAATAAGCTCTTCTCCACAAGGTAGCAATAATGGCTCCTTTAAAAAAAAAAATTGTTGGGGATTCATTAAGGGTACAAAGATCCAGGTAACACTAATTGCATTTGTCAAGCAAAGTCCCTCTTATAAATGTGTTCCTCCCCCATGACCTCCCCATCCCCCTCCCTTCCTCCCTCTCTCTGCTCCCCCATTCCCCCACCCCGCACCATGTACTAGCATCAGTTGTCCTCTCATATCAAAATTGAGTACATTGGATTCTTGCTTCTCCTTCTCCATTCTTTTTTTTTTTGAGACAGAGCCTCAAGCTATCCCCCTGGGTAGAGTGC